GCTGAGACTCACACGCGGACATTTCACTCTGTCCAAAGGAAAAACCCCTGTGCTAGACTGGGAGGAGGATATCCCGAGTGCCAGGCGCCCGTGGCTAAATCCCCACCTTGCCACTCGGCTCTGCGCTCACTGGAGTCAGCCCTACAATTTGGGGGAGGCAACATTTGGTGCCTGGGCTCCCACCCTGCTCTGGCCTCGGCACAAACACACTGGGGCTGCTGCCTTCCCTGGAGGAGCTACTAGCCCCATCTGTGCCCATTCCCACTGCCAGATGCACCTGGGCTCGCCTGGCCAGGGAACAGGGACATGCTGTGGATGCAGGGCCACGTGAAAGACACAGCTGAATCCCAACTGCCAGGGAGAGCAGCGGGCTGGGAAGGGGCATCAAAGCATCTTATTGAGGAGCTGGAAAGCCCTCTGCCTCTGTGAAGGACTGTGGGGGCAGAGCTGGGGGTACTAAGGGCCACACGGTCTTGGGGCTCATCTGAAAAAAAATGACATATTTCCTAAGAGTTACAGTGCAAAAATGTATTACGCAGCGCCTTAGTTGTGTGGGGACATGATATACTATGCCCCCCTCATTTGCAAAATGGGAAAATGTACGCTATACATTTCGTCCAACAGGGAATTAACTGATGGAAAACAAATTTGTTTCCCCTTGTAAGAAATGGGAGATGGATGAAAAGATACGAGAGCCTGGAAGCAGAAGGCAGGTTGAGCCCAAAGGATCCCAGGGAAGGACATGTGGCCTAGACATGGCAAATCTGCCCAGACAAGGCAGCCAGTGAGAGATGCTTATCGTCATACTATGAGTAGTAAATTAATTTTAGGGAAAAAATAATCAAGCATTGTGCAAATCAAATACCCTCCCCTTTATAAAAAGAAGGTCTAGAGCCACTCAATAAGTGCATCACTCAGTGAGTGATCCACAGCAAAATATCTAAAAAGGCAGACAAACATGCACTGTGAAAAATCACACTGGAGACCCAGGAGAAGAATAGTCAGAGCCCGTTGGTAGCAGAGCTGCACAGACATTTATTGAATACAAACATTGACAAACACGGCCGGCTCACAGAGCTTCCTGAGCTATCATCCAAAAGTTGCTTGTGGGGATTGTCATAAGAGTGCTTTCAAAGGCCCTGGGGGGTTTTAATCCTGAATAACTGATTTCTCCCTACTTTCAGTTGCTTGTTAATTAAAAGAGGGTTTTTTTTCATGATTATTATTCCCTTTCTTTAGTAACAAAAATGGCTTGTCTGGACCCTGCCACATTGCAAAGGGAATAGAGCATATGTAAACCAAATGAATGTAAGCTTGGCTCCTGCACATTCTGCTTCCAAAATGACATGGGGTAAGAAAAAGCTATGCCTTAATCTCAGGGCAAGGAGTCAAGGTTGCAAAGGTGAGCCAGGACAAGCAAAATGAACAAAACAGGGGCATCTAAAGGAATAACTACAAAAAAGAAAAAAATACTTTGAAGCAAGCAGAGCTCTGGATGGCATCACAGTTCCATAGGCTACAGCAAGTACTGTCAATGTCAACTCAAAATGTTTAAATAGCTAAGCTAGACTTACACTAGAGATACCTCATCTCCTGAAGTCTCAGCAGTGGAAAGCCCCTTCCCTCCCTCCCCCACTCCCCGTAAAAGCAGATGAAGTAGTAACACCATTCACCGAAAACAAGGACCATAACTAAAGAATTCAGGAGCAGTACCAGGAGCACAGGACGGAGCTTGTAAAGAAACTTCCCAGTGTGTGCATATGTGTGTATTTATATATATATATATATTTGTTAGTAAAGAAAAGAGTATCTATGGAGATAAAGGGGAAGACGGTAAATATACAGATTGTACAAGCTGGGTGGAGTGTCATTGGCTTGAGAGGGTCGGGTGATGCAGAATGAAGGATGGTGGGTGGAAATTAGAGTGCGCCCATTCCAGTGACCTCAGACGTCAGCCTAGAATAGACAGGGGCAAAGAGAGGGGGGAGGGAGGAGACAAAAACAAATACTTAATAACCAGAGCAGAAAAGAAAACGAAGATCCTGTGGGCCAGCATTCCTCCTCTTGCCTACACCCCACTCATCCTCCAACTCACACTGTCTTCGCTGAGGGTCTAGCGTGAGGCAACAACTCAGGCCAGCCTTACAAGAAGCAACACACTGAAAGCGGCCCAAGCATCTAATTTTTTTGCCTCACACGTGGCTGCTTGGACATAGAGTATGTGGCCTAAGGGTGTCCCACCCTCTCCGAGTGCCCTCAATGGGGAGGCATCCTCTAATGGATACCCATAGACTCTGAGCACACTCCTGAGAAGGAGACCTAGAACCAAAGATTCAGCTATAGGGGAGACAGATTCCCTCCACCTAAAGTCACAGCAATATCTTGAAGGAGGTGATTTATTTTTTCCCAGCAGTTGAATTCTCACTGGGTTCCTTCGACCCCTGAAGTCTGGTAGGCTGCTCAGGAGATTGGAGGAAGGGTATTTAAAGCAGGATTGCGGGTAGAAAGTGGCCTCTGAAGCTTGCAGCAGTGTGCCACAAGCTTGATAGAGGGTGACTTGATGACTAGTCAGTTTGGATTTTGGGTCCTTAAAGGAGGGGGCAGGCACCTACAGAAGCAAGGCCCTGAAACACAGAGCCGGCCAAGCATCCAGCTGCCTTCTCTCCCTGCAGGCACAAACACCCGCTGCTGCCCAGGTAATGCCTCCGCTGGCGTTGTGCTGTGGCAGAGACACTATCAGTGATGGGTGGAGACAACCTGACCACGCTGCCTCACTTCTACAAGTATCTCTCCTACCACAGATGGGTAACAACACTAGCTTCTCTCTCACCAGGGACTCGTTTGGCTTATAACCTTCAAACTCCCCTCATCTCTTTGTTTTCCTCTGCATATTGAAGCAGTGGGAGTCAGGGATCTGTTCAGTCCTCCCCCTGACAAACTGCTGCCCTTCCCTGTGTTAGTCACAGCACAAGCTGCAGTTCAGTTAGCCCTCCTCCAAGAGTAAAGAGCCCCTCGCTTTGTTTTTCTTTCCCTTTTCTTTTCTCAAGCAGTTGTTGGGATTAAGAGGTGTCAGGAAAGCAGCTCACGCAGTGCTTCCAAAGCACCTCCAGGAAGCGAGGGGGTCCCATCCCTCTCTTGTGAGGCTGGAGGAGACACGGACACCAGAGAGGTGCCACAGGTCAGAGCAAAGGTGCTTCGGCACAGTCAAGGGGAGCAGGGTCAGGACAGGATGGCGGAGTTTGTTGCAGGTCAAGGCTGAGGTGGGTCGGTGCAAGGAGAAGACAGCTCGTACAGATCTTGCCAGTGCTCCCAGCCCCTTGCCTAAACGAACATAAAAGTCTTCACTGAAAGCCTCCCCCTCCTCTGGACCCTCATTCTGCCAGAGGCTGCTCAGAACAGCGCTTGTCCTACATGAACCATGCCGGTAGCAGGCTGGCACGGTACCAACTCCGGCTGCTCTGGCCAGTGTGGGCAGTTGGCTTCATGAGATATGCGTCTCAGTTTGCACTGCTGTGCAGGCTGCGTTTCTGAGGAGAAGCATCAGGAGACTCCCTGTCCACCACATACAAGTTTGTGCTCACAGGCAGACAGGTTTGCATTAAATCCAAAGTTCCCCTAGAAACAGCACACAGCCAGCCTAAAGTCAGTCAGTTCCACCTCAGTACCAACTTCTCTCTAACTTTGTCGTCCTGCATAATCTCCTCTTGCAGTTTCTTGCTTGCCACAAGCAGCCTCAGCTTGCGTGGTCCATGACCCAAACGTAACACAGACAGCATCAGGACCCCAACTGGAGTCAGCGCTAGAAAAGCCTGTTCAACTTCATCTCAGCTCCTATGTGTCCCTGGAAGGTCCTGCTGTGCCAAACTTGTTAGAGAAATACCGATATGGAAAGGAAACAATCAGGCCATTCCCATGTCTTTTATTTATTGGACCATTTGATTATTTTCACCAGATAGAGGAAAGCATTTTGGAGACCTGGACACATGTTAAAATGCCTCTGAGATGGTATTGAGACAGTTGGTCTGTACAATTTTCAGTGAGGACAAGGCCAACCCACTGAGCAGTCTCAGATTATGCCTTCCCACCACCAGAACAAATCCATCTCCATGTCCTGTCTGAGACCTCTACCTTGTTTGCAGGGAAAAGCAGTGATTTTGCCTAGTTATAAAGCAAGAATCCCCAAGCGAGGACGGCAGGTGGGCGAGTGACCAGCCCCACCGTTGGCTCTAACACAACCTGTGGTTGCTTCGACAGCAACAAAGCGGCTTCTGGTCCCCAGCCAAGGTGCTCGTCTGAGAAGAGGCCTCGCAGGTGACGTCTGATCCCCATCCAGAGGATTCAGCAAGAAACCGTCAGTGCACATGTCACGTGCCGGCCCAGAAAGCCTCATGAAACCCCTCTTAGCCTGCAGTGACTGGAGCACTTGCTACTCTCCAAGCTCCTGCAGGACTTATTCAGCCAGCCTCTCTCTTTACGGGAAGGTCGCAGAGGCAGGGCTGGGCTCGTGTGGCCTCCGCTAGCGGCTCTCACCTGGCGTTGATGAGGTATTGAGCGAGGCTGATGTTGGCAGGGGTTCCTGTGATGGTAATTTGGCGTTCCGATGATCCTTCCGTGGCATTGGCGATTTTGATCTGCGCTCCAGACATCTGTCGAATTTCATTGATTTTGGTCCCTTGGCGTCCAATTATGCAGCCTATTAGCTAGAAAAAAGTATGGAGGGAAGGTCTTAAAGCAGAAGCTCAGGCAGTAACTGGTGGGACGCAAGTGCAACCACATGGTGAAGGTCAGAGGGCTGGCAGAAGCCCTGCTCACTCTGCTCAAGGGTGTGAGTGACTTTAATGCTCATGAAAACAAGCGACTAAAAGCACTGGGTTGAATCCCACCTTAATATGAGCAATATTCTCCCAGGATACTTTCATCATGACTTTTAGCAATCTGTTCCAGGCTAGTCCATTGGGAGCAAATTTTAACATGAACACAGTGCCAAAGAGCTCTGAAGGTCTCAGAAAGGGAAAGATGCCTTTATATTATACTAGGTTTATTTCTGGTCATGTCCTGATGGTTTGGGAAACCATCAAGAAAGGGAGCTCTAGATCTCACCTTGCTGTGAGATAGGATGGCTGAGCCTGTTGGGTGGCTGTGTCCTTGAAAGTGCCAGACATATCCTGGCAAAGCTACTTCTCTTGCTGCCCTTTCAATGGATTTACACCTGCAAGGAGGACCCATCCCGGCTCCCTCACCCAGTGCACGCTGACATACCCACGTGGCCAGTGGATCCCAAGGGTACGGAGCAGTGGTGGCAGGAGCTCACAGGTGACACTGAGTAAAAAAGGGGTCAAGGGGTTGTGCACTGATGAAAAATGATCCTGTCAACAGTAATGGTCTGTAACATTTGTGAACGTTAACTCCTTCACTGCAACGTGAAATTTAGAGCAATCCAAGCTCTCCACCATTCCCCCTAACCTTTCTCCCAAGAAGTTGTCTCTTAGGGTGAGAGATCAACCAGATCTCTCCACCCATCTCTGCTGGCTGCCACTGTAGGCTGATGTGGCCAGTTCCAGCATCTACCAGAGGCTCGCTGCAATGGAAAAGCTGGCAATGTGGAGGATGAGGAACAGATGGACACAGGGAGAGGGAAGAGAGCATAGGAGAATAGCTTTGTAGTGGGGAGTGATGGAGTTGCTGCCTTTTTCTGAACTACGCTTCAGGGCATACAGCTCCAAAGAAGGCCCATCTCCTTGAGATAGTTAATGCTTCTCTGAGATGGACAGGGGCAGCTAACTCTGGATGGGGTGGGAATGGCGTGCACAGCGAACTCTGGCAAGCTGTCCAAACTAAATCCCAAGGTAAGACGCCTATCAAACGCTGTCTCTTGTGAGGCAGAAGTCCAGTTAGCTCACTATGAAAGTGCATTAGCTTCCCTCAGTGTGATTCCCTGCCACAGAGCCCAATAAATAGCAATGGGGATTTGATTACAGGATAGAGATTGGAAAAACTTGCAATTCCTGAATATTTGCATGATCAGTAAATCAGCATCTGATTTTCTGAAGCGTCAGAGCCAGCACCTTGGTAAGAGAATCAGGCCTTGGTCACAACTCAGATCTGCTTCTGCTCAGCTTGCAGGTTAACTGCGTTAACTCTTGTACTATCTTTACAAAGCAACTGGGATGGCTTGGGCCATTCCAGGCTCACATCCCAGCAGAGCATTTGACTGCATTTCAACCTGACCACAAGTGATGATACTTTTTTCGATACGTGTCTGAGGATGGCAATAAATCGTGTTCTAGACTTCTCCACATTTATCTCACTGCTAGTCACAACTAACCTGAAGATACTTGTACAGATTGCATAACCAGAAGAAAATAACCATGCCATTTTTCAAAAGTGCCAATTTAACCCCAAATGCCCCCTCAGTAGGTGGAATCATACACTTTATTATTAGAGTATCACATTATTCACCCTATCCTGTACATCCTGTACTGCACACAAATTCCCTGTCCTTCTGTCTACAGAAGGGCCCGAAGATGAGTACAACATGGAGCAGCAGCATCCTGAGAAAATGTGCTCAGATGATATTTAGGAAACAAGGGCTTATCTCAACCAGTGCGCACGTCTTCCACAGCCTCGCAGCCAGCCCCAGGCTGGGGACACTGCCAGAGGTCTCTGTCCCAAGCCTTTCCCAAGCAGGGACACCTCAAAACTAAGGCCCCATGCTCAGGACTGGGAAAAGGGTATGTGAGACACTCCAAGAGTGAAGGCCTCCCATCTCGCTGTGCCCTGTCCCAGGGAGACCCTGCTGCTCTCGGAGAAATTTCCTTATGCTTCTTTGGGATTGCCCTGGCCATAGATCATGCCCATGGTCTCCAAACCTTTTGCCCTTTGAGGATGGTCCATCTGCCTCTTCCCTGTTACCCTGTCTTAGCTCCTTCAGTGTGACAAAGCACACATGAAAGCTCCATTTCACCATACGCCTCTGACAGAATGAAGAGCAAGTGGATTGCACTACAAAGTTACAGCACCAGGAAAACATGAGACTTCTACTTGAAAACATGTCTTTCATACTATTAACTTTTTTTTTTCCTGAGATCCACAGGGCTGAATATTCTCAGTGGCTCCTGAGGGGGACCTTGAGATTTGCTCTTAGTCACTAGTGGATCAGCTTACAGTTTCTTCAAGCACCACTGCAACAAATCAAGATGACCATTTTTTCCAACACATGCAGGAGGTGTACCTGTGTGCCCTCATCATCTATGAACATTTAAGTCCCTTTCCAAGGTCACATCTGGGAATTTGGAATATGGGACATTCATTTTTAAGTCTTTCCAAAAGCTCTGTTGACCACCCTCTAGGGCACGTTCCTTAGCTGTGCAGCGTAAAAGCCACCCACAGCCATATCCATCTCACCACCTTATTCTTCACCTACCAGGTAGACAGGTAGCGAGGGTTAACAAACCTGAATGAATGCCCCACTGCAGCACTGGAAAGATGTGGATTAGCTCTTGGGCTGCAGCATGATGTACAGCCCACCACCCACCTCTCCTTGTGTTCATAGTGCAGAAACAGCTCAGCCTGGAGAGGGTTCAGCAAGAGACAATCACATTTGGGAACCTGTTAGGGAGACAGTTGGGGCCAAATCTATTTAGAGAGGAGATTTTTAGTGAGATCTTTGCACAGCATTGATGTTCCTCCTGACAGTCAAAGGAATGACAACATCTAGCACCTAGGAGCTGACAGTATGATGCTGCCTTCAGGGTCACTTCTTGGATCCCTCTCAGCTCTATTTGTTAAGGTTCTGAGGAAACACAGCTGGACACAAGTCTTATGAATGAGGTGATAGCTGGATTTCATCATCAGATTTCCTTGAAATCTGCTTCTCTGCAGCACAACTGCAAGCTAGTTTGTGCCCCCCTAAAAATGAATCTCTCAGCACTTTAAGAGACAGACAATCCGAGAGAAGACGAGCAACAGTTTGACTTTGAGAGACAGACACCCAATCCGAGAGAAGACGAGCAACAGTTTAAGAGTCCCATGGCAGGTCACCCAGCACTTTAAATGACAGAGCAGGCCCCTTTGCAAGGTAGCTCATATTCCCATATATGTCCTTGTGGTTACTAGATCCATGTTCCCCCACACTAGGCAGATATGGTTGCTGCACCTTCAGGAACACTTGCAGATCTCCTGGAGGGGTTTCTTAATCAGAAGAACAGAAGTAGATTTGGAAAGCCGTCCTGTTGCCATGCACAGCTTTGGTACCGTCTCCCAAGTCTCTTCTCTGCAGCACTTTTCACACATCTGTTTGCCCAAGGGTGAAACATCACTGAGGATTTCAGCAGGCAGATGCTTGGAGGCTGCTCGGCTGCTGCACCTCTCAAGTGGAAGGAGCTCCTGCATGTGTCCCAAAGCAGCACAGGTCTCCAGGCAGTCGTGTCCGAGATGGCTGCTGTTCTTTTACATCCCAGCCTGACTCTTAAAATAGAAGACAGGAGTGGACAAAGCAGCCAGACCTGATGCAGAAACTGCTGAGAAGGGCAGGCTGAGGGATCCTCTTGGCAGTCTTTGCCCACTTGCTCTGATCATGATTCAACAGCAGGCTGGCTTTCAAACCCATGGAATCAAGTGAGATCCTTGGATACAGGTGCTGGTTGCATGGGCTCTCCATCTTACCTACTCATACCTGAGCATCCCTGAGCACCCTCCTTTTACCACTCAGAGCCCAGCAGGACTCCAGCTTTCTTCCAACAACCATCCAAGTCCAACATCTACCTTACCGCATCAGTAAGACCGAAACCTGACTGCCACCACAACTAAAAGGAGATGCACTGCCCTTTAAAAGCTAAAAGCTTAGCACTTTGTGGCATGAGTAACACTACTTATGTCCTCTGCAGGCCCCTAGTAAACACATCTAAGCTGAAACATAACTTTAGATCTGCCAGCAGGATATTAAGCGAATGATGCTGGGATTCAGCAGAGAGCACAGAGATAGACTGGGCAGCCCTCTCTCTTCCCAGCCCACTTTAAGCAACAAGACAGTCTCAGCTGATGCGCAGCACTAATCACACTGGCTTGGCAGTGCTCGGGATGGGAGGGAGCTCCCTTCTGGACATGTTTCATGAGCAATAAGTTCACTTTGAAAGGAAAAAAAGGAACATTAAAGAGGATTTTTATCTAGGAAAGATATCACAAGGGTAAAGTCCAATGGGAACTCGTGTTTTATAGTGTTTTCTGACCATCTCCCCAAGCAACAAGACAGTAGGAACTGTGCAAATGGCATGAGTGAACTTGGTGAAGTGGCTTCTCTAAGGATATTTAATAGGGTGGATTATCTGCAGCTTAAAATATATATATATATATATATGTATATAGACACTCGTACACACATGCGTGCGCACACACCCAGAGGAAGCATTCGGAGCCACTATACTTACATCATTGGGAATGGTGAGTTCATGAGTACTGGCCGGGGGACTGGCATCCAAACCTGGGCATATGCAAGGGAAAACGGTTACAGCTTGCAGAAGCAGTGTGGTGGATCTCCTGGTACTTTACCACAACAGTAGACATTACAAATGCTGCATATGGCTCCAGGGCCGGGAGGGAAGGGGATCACACATTCTGGTACAAGGAGAAGGAAGATGGTTGCTACCTAACTCTTCCAGAGCTGGTTACCACCTTCACCTGCTGCCCCTGGGCTCCTCAAGCTGCTTCTCATAGGTACCATGCTGCGGACTGTAAACACTTTCCTGGCTCTTCTCCTTTTCCTAAGACGCGCAGGGAGATCACGGTGCTACTGCTTAGCTTGCTCCTTGCTTCTTGCTCAATTCTCCCCCCTAGAAGGGCTTTTGAGGCAGGTATGCTAAAACGCAAGGTTACGGCCGTGGGAAGCCCTCCTCTGCCAGGGTTTGCAACGTGCTCTGCAAGTGAAGGCCCCTTAGATTTGTAAGCTGAACTGCGGGCAGCAGCTGCAGGGATGTGCACGCTAGCTGCACTCAGGACTGCTTGTTGCCCATCCCCACAGCACGTATTCACCAGTGAATACAGCAGCCTACTTCCTCCCAGGCTCTCCAGGGAAAGGAAGGACACTTTCCCTTAACGCAGAAAAGGTTGGAGTCAGAAGACTACTGCATACAGCAGATGGCATCTCATAGCACTCCAATTCCAAATTAAATTGCCTCATTGGCAAAACTGGGAAACCCTACTGCAATCCTGCAAGATAGCAGCTTTCTGATAGCTAACTTTTTTTTACAGCTGCCACAAAAACTTAACTGTAGAATATAAACTACAAATGAAGACTTTTAAGATCAATGTGTTCAAGTGTCCAAGAATCAGCAAGGTCTGCATCCAGTAAAACAGAATAAAAGGGATATAAGAGAAAGAAAAGGACAAAAAGTGGAACTATTGAAAGCAAAAAAAAAAAAAAAAAAAAAGGCAGTTTTGCCAGAGTCAAGTGCTGCATTTTTCTCAGTTCCCCTGACTCACTGCAATGAAGGCACCATTTACTCTGCTGCTATGAGACAGCACAGCAGCAGCCCTGAATGTCTAGTCAAAAAATCCAGAGAAGCTGCTAAATGCACCGCTGCCTCAAAAGTACCATGCAGCTGATGCAAACAGACATCAAGTCTTGCTAGTCTGCACCTCCATCAAGGCTTTCTGTGTAGTGAAAGAGAACTTCCCTTCGCCAGTTTTGTTGGCAGCAACAGTCCTGGTTTTAAAAAGTAACAGGTCAAAAATGACATTTTTCTAGATACCAGCATTTTCTTAGAGAACAGCAGCTGTGAGAGTGCTATGTCCCAGACTGGCCTTGGGATGGCAGCAGGAAGAGAAGAAGGGTGGACTGACCTTAAAAGAAATCGGACAGGTAGGTGTTTGCCTACTGTAGTTCCCACAGATCAAACATCTCACTCCAGCTGAAATGTAGCCACTTGAAAAAGTACATCAAAACTATATTCCTTACATTGGAATCCCATTTTAATGTCTACTCCTAGAAATAAGACGATCAGGTGTCCTTTATTTGCTAACATATAATTCAAATACTTTCCTGAAGGTAGCCTCCTAGCTACCCCATTTGATGGGGAAAGAACTGAGTCTCCCCTATAAAGATGCAGTGCCTGAACATAGTGCACAGGTACCTACTTGAAGACAGTCTCTTTACCATGTTATTCTTCACGATCATAAAAGGAGGTGAAATGCAGAGGGGATCAGTACTCTAGCTGGCAGTCCTACCCCTGCCTTCGACTGTGCCTCATATACTTTTACCAAAGCCTGCAAAAAAGGGGTGCCTCCATGTCTTGGTGTCTTCCTTGACTTCCACTTTGCATCTTGTTTGGAGCTAGCATGGTCACAAGAACCCCTTGTTGCCCCCAAGTCCCCAAAGCCTATTGACCACCCAAAATCTCCATGGACTACCCTATCCAGGTAACATGTCTGCCAAGCCCGGTACTGCCCAGCACTCCTGCCAGTCTTCCTGGGATGCAGGAGAAGACAGAATCTGCCTAGCCCAAGGATGACAGACCCACAGGGTCTCCTGTGGGTCTCCTGATCTCCTTGTCAGAAAATAAAAGGCTCGGTCCAAAAGTGGCCTGGATTTGTCAGAAAATATTTCCTGAAGGCTATGGAGTACTACGAGATGGCATCATAAAAGTGCTAAGGAGTCCATGGCTTTGGAAATTCAGATGTGGCTCCTCAGACTTACAGATAAGAAAGATCCATCGATCACCTTGTGATCTTTTATTTTAGCATACGAGATCCTTCACTTCCAACACGTACACATAGTCCTTGTGGCTGTAACGGGAAGAACCTGTGTCCTCAGCCAGGGCAGAATTAGTGCCATGAGCAATCACGAAGGACAAAGCAGAACACTGAACAGAAAACAAGGCTTTACACATTGAAACTAATGAATCACTTTTTGCTAAAGTCTTGCAGGATGTATTCCCATGGTCTGTGTTTGCATTTTGTAGTTAAGCAACGTCCCCAGAGTCTTTCGAGGCACATATCAAACACAGCCTGGATGCCAGGGTATGCACTGCGTAGGTAGAGGGGCAGGTATCTCCCATTTCACTGTGAATCTTCAAGACACAAGGTAATTTATCTTAGCATTGGTAGGTTATTAAAAAAAAAAAAGAAAAAAAAAAGTATGTTTGGAACCTACAGACCCACATGCAGCTGTCAGTACAGCACATTTGAAATAGAAATTCCTCTGATTACAGCCATGATGTGACCCCTCAATGTCCTGCTCCGATTACTCAGTGTCCTCCTGCCCCACTCAAAATGTAGCTCATCTCAAATAGTTTAGAGATGGCTAAAACTGCATGTTATCTCAGTTCCCACAGGCATTTTTCTATTGTTTCTTGGAGAAGATCATACAAAATTAAAAGCAATAACAGAGGTAATAACTCTGATGTCTTGCCATTATTTGGGTAGAAGCTTTACACATACATCAAGAAAACAGGTAATAAAATACAGGTGCATTTCTTTTGACATGCTCTACAAAAGAGGCAAGGCAATGTACTGACTGGTCTCTCCCTGCCCACCAGAAAACACGCCATGTTCTCCGCAAATAAGACAATTTATCCAGAAGCACAATGACACAGTCCTATTTAAGAAATATATTACAATAGAAGCCTAGTTATTTCCCTGTAGTTTTACTTTTTATTTTTTACCTGATGATTGGCCCATCAGATTTTGAGCTTCTTCGGAGGAATGTAAGGGCAGCTTTTCTCCTGAAGAGCAAAGAAGAAACAGATTTAATGCTTTTGCCTTCAAGGAGATAAGCAATGTCACTTCATCTAGGAAGCTCAAAATATGATGAACATATTGTCAGAAAAGGCATTTCCAGCTGGCACTTTGGCCACTGAGTAACAAAGATACTTCAGAGTATTTGAGCTCCCTGTGCTCTGCCTGCTCCCTAGCTCGCCATGTAACATTTTAGCCGGAGCACCAGTTTTGCAAGGAGCGCTGCTGAGACGTTACAGAGCTGCCGCCCTCCCTGCACGTCTCCGTCCCATCCTCTCTTCCCAGTAGAGCGGTGCCATCCTTGCCAGCTCGTGCACTGCTCCCCGAGAGCCACCGGTGCCACGGGGAAGGGCGCAGAGGAGCTTCCCTCCCTTGGCACGTGGAGCGGGGCTGTCTCACCTAGTGCAGCTCAACGCACGCTAGCTCCTCCGGGCTAGCGAGGGTCAAGGTTTACCCCAGCGCTCGCTCACTTCTGCTCAAAAAGCCAGCAAAGCCAGAGGCAGAATAGAGATGGCTTCACAAGAGCAAACCGGTCACCCACAGCTAACTGCTGGCCTGCAAGGAGAGTCACCACCAAGCGTCCGTCTAGTCTCTCCGTTAGCTCTCACCCATTGACATTGCAACCTCCGTTTTACTCGTTTTACTCATCCTATTTTTTTTTTCTCCATTAAACAAAAATGAAGTTCAGAAAGAGAAAGAAAATCTACAGGTAAGAAGAGAAGGATATCTAGAAAGGGCGTCTGGGTACGTACCAGGGAAAGCGGGGGTGGTCTGTCCAAGGGGAGTAAAGGGGGTTTGCTGCATAGCCAACTGGTGGAGCTTGGTCAACTGCTGAGGGGTAGGAGGGACATTAGAGCTAAGAAGGTTATTGTTATAGAGTACAACAAGTCACACTGAAAATCAAGAACAAAATTATAAAGGAAAAAAAAGAAAAAAAAAAGAAAAAAAAAGGCAAAAACCAAACCAAAACAAGAACAAACCAGGAGGCCATGATGAGACATGGCAAAAAACGACATTAACAGAAGGACTTGGCCTGGGTAAGATGCAGTAAAGCCCAAATCTTTCGCAGAAGTGCTTGGTCAGGGTCTGAAGTACGATACCAGCAGGAAGCCCATGCTTAGTTTCCACCTCTCATAAAAACAATTTAGCTCCTCCACAGGGAGCAGCGGCCCCCTCTGCCTTGAGGAGGCCGGGAGCTGCTAAAGCAACAACAGAGCTGATACACAAACAGCTTCTAGCCGTTGCCTTCCTCCTTTCCTTTGTAACTTACTACAAATAGCTGCTGCTCCCTTTAGTAGGGTTTTAACATGGAGGAAGCAAAGGTGCTGCCAGATCCAGGGCTGCCCCATGCCAGGGGATGTAAGATCCTCCTGCATTGCTGGGGGCTTCACGAGGGCCACATTGTGACCGTTGCCCTGCACAGTCAATGTGCTCTTGTTCTGCGTGTCCAAGGGGAACTGTCTCTGGAGGCAGGCAAATTTCAGCTCTTAACATCAGCTTTGACAAGTGCATTACAAACACAGGCCCTGTAGCAGACGGAGGGAATACGGGCTTCAACCACAACCAGTAGGTATTTCAGATCCTTGTATCCCTTGTTGTGCTGGGTATCTTTTCATGCCCCAGCAGGAGGCAATTGCATAGAGAGGAGTTTGTTTGCAATACATTTTGTGCTCTGTTTTACTGCTCCAAATTAAAAATTAATAAATAAACGGACTGAAATTTCATGGCTCTGCTGTGAGCAGAAAGGAGCTCTCTTTCCTCTTGGTGATTTCAGAGTGCCCATAGGGTTACCAGAACTGCATCGTCTCCCAGATGCACACAAGCTCGTCGCACCCATTGCCCTCTGCAGCAGGGGAGAGGCAGGAGTTGCAATTTCAACATTTGGGGTTAGGGGAACAATATTCAAAAAACTCCTTGCTCCTGCAGTTTGTCCAGGGGAGGGAGTGCAGGGAGGTCTGACACCAGCAGTGGTAAGGGTGAAGCGCTGGAAAAAGAAGATCCGGGGAGCTGAAGCGATCAGGTGAAATAATGGAAAGGAACTGCAGGAACAGGAAATGCTTGTTGGTTACCAGAGAGGTAGCAGAAAGAAACCTACGAAGGCAAAGCCTTGAGGACCTTCAGCCTTTGCCCGTTTGCTCAGGCAGGCAAAGGCTTTGCTGCTGCACAAGACACGGCACGTACACATCTTGCTGTGTAGCATACAGAAAATAAGCTGAAACAGAACCAGGCTGAACCACAACCAGCTCCAGACAAGACTGGGAATGGCAGCACTCCTGCAGATAACATGGTCTTCAGTAGCCTCCTTCCTCCACCCCACAATCTTCTGTTTTCTATCTTGTTTTTGGTAAAATTAAACCCAGATGTATCCTGTCTGTGCTACTTCCTTCAACCATGCATGTTTCGCTTGTTCTTTTGCCACTTTTTTAATGCTGTAGAGGCAGCATCTCTGTTGGACTCGGACAGACAGTGGAACTTGATCAGCTGGAGGATATTAGGCCCAACAAGGTTATTCTTACAAATCACACCAAAAAAAGCACTACAAGGCAGCTGCTGCACAGCTCTAGCTAAAACTTGTTGCTTCTTTGCAGCATTTGGAGGCTTGCCCAACATTGCTCTCCTGCACGGCAGCAGTCCTGCTTCCTGTTGCTGGAGCTGCACAGAGGAGCCCACCACCAAGCACGGGGAAAATGGAGCTGCTCATTAACCTGCACGCTCCTAACCATGCCCCAGGGAAGGAGCCCTGCTTCACCTCATGGCTGACATCAGGAAAACATGGAGCACTCGGTGCAGTTGCTTGGAACAGGGGAAAATGCAACAATCTGTTCTATCGCTGAACCAGGACCTTTCTTAGGAATAGCTTTAATAGGGGTATTTAGCAATGCCCATGATACAAGGACAGCAATGAGAATAGCTGCACAGAAAGAGAGGATTGCTATGTGCAGGCGTTGCAGTTAAACCTGTCACACAAGCTTGCAGAGCATAAAACACCCTCTTCTGTTTCCTTACAGGCTGAAAAAAATCTGGAAGCAAAGACCCAAGAGCATTTCCTCCAACTTTGGTTCCTTTTACAGACCAAAGGCAAATTACCCCAAAGACACTGTTGCAAGGGCAGCAGCACATTCTACCAACGTACGTCCACACAGAGCATCAGTAGACACCCACAAAAAAACGCTTGGTCACATCTCATCGTCTGCCAGGCTGGCTCCTACCTCTGAGTTTCCTCCGCTCAACACCTATTCAATGTCCTGATGCTCCCCGACTCCTGCTGCCCTCCTGGCTTTCTCTGCAAATTTAGTGAGGGCAGGTAGCTCGATGCCACATGCAAAGTATGTGAGCACCCAGGGCCATCCTGAAGCCACTCACGAGTCAACTCTCCAACTGAGCTGGACGGGTTTTGCTCAAGGGAGAACATGAAGACAGGAGCTCGGATTTAGTGGTTTTAGTGGTGTTTGAAATCCCACCCGCTCCACAGTCAAGAGTTTGTTGCAGAATCTATAAAAAGGAGCTGCTTAAATACAAATATCTGTAAGAGCAAGGACAAAACTTTAAGAACTTGTTCAAGACCAATTTCATTACCAAGCAGTATTTAAAATGACAGATCCTTGGAAGAGGACTATAAGAGTAAGGAGGGAGCATGCAATCCTTATGCTAACAACTTCTTCCAAGTCTCAGCAAATCTGATGGCAGTGAGCCAGACTTTGGCCAAAAGACACAAATAATGTTTTTCCAGCATCGACTCAAGTGTAAATATTGCCTCAGTACCGTGTGTACCAAAATGTGTGCTGTCAGAGAATACAATAACAAGGAAAACACTCTAAGGACACTGATTGAAAAGCAAAATTGGGACAAAAAAAACACATTGATTTGCGCTGACTAAAATATGCAGTCGTGTATTTATGTTTTACTTAGGGAGCAAAAACAAAATGCACAAAAAATATTTCTTATCGACTGTTATATCAGACTATCCAAAATGCATGTCCTGGAGTTTCATGGAAAGTCAAATTCTGTCCTCCATTACAGTGGGTGAAATCACGGCTCCTAAGAACAAAATTTACCCTATTTACTCCAAATATAACATCTAATAATTTCCATTAACATCATAGAAATCATGTGTTTATACTAGATAGTTTGCCTAGTTCTCAGTTAGGCAAGAAGTGATCAAATGAATTTAACAGCCAACTTGCCCATGAGAAAGAGAAATACCAAACCATGTAAATTTCTTTAAGTGTGATAGATCTAAGGTGAGGTCCTTCCACCCAGACCACACAATTTATAGCTATCTGGCACCTGCAGAGTATCTTTTGGTGCTCTATTCTCACTGAAGATTCAATGCTCTTCACAGATGCCAGTGGGAAGGGGCTTCTGCACTGGGGCACACTAGATTTTTCACCTTATTCCAAAATATTTAGAAATTCCTGGCTTTTTCCAAGGGCTTCTTGACCATCCCTCAGCAGCTGTGACAAGATACAGAAGCTGAGCAGCTGTCTTCCTGACATCTGGGCACTGAAAACCTCTATTTTTATGTTGCTAGCAATATGTGCTGGTATTTTACTTCTTTGCTAGTGTTTTCCATCCTTTAAAATAGACTGTTTATCTATTTTTATCAGTATTTTTAAGCAAAGATATGCCAGCATGTTTCCTGTGTCCCCCTCCAAAATGTGTGTCTCCTTAACCTACCCTGTCATTCCTAAGGCACTCAATGAGCAGGGGGATTTGAGCAGAAGCCAAGTCCAGCTCCACTTGAAGTGTGCACGACATTTGCCTCTATGTAAAGGATGCTAGTTGCAGCAGAGACCGTGTCTGTGATGTCCCCTTCCAAGGCAGCAGAGAGCCAAACCCAGCAGAACAGCTGTCAAACAGAGGGTGACCAATGTCCTGTTGGTGCTTCGAAAGGAGAGGACACCAACATGCTGCCAGGAGCACAAGGGAGGGGATGTTCGTTGGCCCAGGTCCCACATTTCCTTGTGGAACAGTGGCCAGTGCCGAGAACGGGCAGTGCAGCAAATTCCTACCGGCCCCACTCCTTCGTATCAACCACCTTGAGGGTCCACATCCACCTTCAGGCAACCTGCAACCCCAGCAAATCACCCACCCAGATGTTTTCTCCTTCTGAAGGTCACAGAAAGCGAACGGGTGACTGCAACACTCCCTGGGTTAGGAGTGGAAACGGCTGTGCTGGCAAACGACTGCCTGTCACAACAGCGTATGAGCTGCAGCACATGTCCCCAGGGCCTCTACTGTCAGCCCCTGCATTTGAGGGCAGCTGAATCACTGTGGGAAGGTCACAGGAACGACCTTCCTGAGCAGCAGCATCTCCTCATCGACACTGGAGCTTTAGGAGCCATCTTCCACCCTGCCTTGGCACACTTTATGAGAGAAAGAGTCCTGTCACTCCCCTTACTCTCTTCCCAGCATGGCCTGTCCTCAGTCTGCGTGCTGGCAATGCTATTTTGATGTGAAAGCACAAAGGGAGGAATGAGAGCTATGGATTTGCTCCTGATTGAGTGGCCATGTTGCAGGTCACCTCTCCTTTGGGTTTTGGTCTGGTTCCTCCAGGGACTCGTAGACCAGTCAGCGAGGTGAGATCCAGCATGGATGAGTACCGTGGGCCAGTCCTGTACTCATCCCTCTTCCCTTACTTTCCTTCAGGAGAGGCAGACAACACCTTGCCCAGCTTCAATGTCTACATTTGAGTCAGACCACAAAAAAATGACATGTCCTCCTATCTCAACTTCACCCAGGAATTATTCCATCTCCAAACCTCTGGTTTCTCCCTCATCCCACCAAACTCATTATGAAAGCATGATGCATCAGGAAGCACCAGGCCTGCCTCGGGCACCACACAAGGCAGTAGCAGGACAGGCTCACCCTCCTCATCACAGAACAAGTTGCACATCTTGAGCAGTTGGACTATAAAGCCGCTCTCCAGTCTAAAGCAACAGTTAATCCAGAAAGGAGGGGAATAACTGAGCATCACTAGAGACTCAGATGCCCTTTTTGTAGTAGGGAAAAGGACACGTTCAGGGAGATCACAGTTTGGGAGAGACCAGCAGAGCTCAGAAAGTGAAATAGCCTCTCTTGAGAAGACCAGAAGATGCTTGGCACCTGAATAAGTCACTGCGTTACCAACACTTTAGGAAGACAGGAGAAAATAGAAAGGAAAGTTTTATTTGTTTGTTTGTTTTAGCTTGTTTTGACCATTTTGAGGCACAAAATGCATAGAATACAATTTGTGTGATAACAAAGGGATAGCACTGAACAATACAAATAATTTAGCATCAGGCCAAGTCCTCAGAATTAATAAAGTTTAGCACTAACAGGTTAAAAGGCTACTCAAGGTATTACAGATACTATGCACGGCCAATAACTTTGAAAATATGCTATTAATATTATTTTCTAATATTAATATTATATTAATTAACAGTAGCATGCAGGTGACATAAAAGGGTATAAGAAGAAATAGGGTAAAACTCACATCCGGGTGTGGAATAGCGTATTGTCCCTGAATTGTATAGGCCTGCAAAAGAAAAAGACATGTTATTAGGGTGGCGGTGCTACATGAAGAAGCCCTGTGTCTCTCACCACTGGAACTATCATCCCTGCGCTTTGCTTCTTTGCATCTAACATGGGGGAAAGCTGTTGAATGCACAAACAGACCAGAAGACCCCGTCCCCACCTCGGATCTTGCCCTGTCCCTGCCATCTGCACCAGTACTTCAAGGTGCTCAGTGGAGAGCAGGCAACTTCTCTCTGCTCTGCTAGGGGCGAAAATTGAGCCTGGAATTTCGGTGCTTCACAAAGTGCTCTATGGGAAAAGGCCATTGCCACACAAAAACAAAAACAAACAAAAAGCCTAAAACAGGGGGTTTGTGGCACCATTCCCTGTCCTGGGAAATGGAGCTGGACCACACATCTTTTAGCCCCCTGCATGCAGGGTTTTGAACAAATACTATTTTTTAAGCATCTGTTGCTATCACCTGCTGCCAATGATGGATGTTAAACATTGACACTGAAGGGAATGAGGGCAATGCTTCCCCTGTCCAACACACGGATGCCCTGCACATCTCCCTGGCTATCCCAGCTGAAGATCCCCCTCCATGCTGCAGCAAAAGCAGTAAAATTCACTGGGACAGCAAGTCCTTGGATAACTTCCACCACAGCAACGGAGATGTACTTCTCCAATTGCAACTATGCTGAGCTACCCAGCCACACCTCTCAAAGGGCTTGAGCTCAGTTCGGCTTTTTCAAAATAAGGAGCAAGCTATTTAAGAGTCCCCAAGCTCTGCAGAGGAGAATAAGGTTGTTACTGTGGTTTCCTGTACTGAAGAGACTCCTCAAATCAGGATTAGCACCGTAATGCATTTCACCATTTGTAATTAATGCACCCATGCAGATGCTTGCTAGGCAGTTTGTTATTTTTACCATCATTTGTAGCAATCCTTTCACTTCTGTAAATACCCCAAAAACAAGCACCATTGCAAATACAGATCCAAACTCTAGAGAGCCCAGTATTTTGGGTTTTACCAGCTAACAAAATATATCTTGCTAGTCGACACATTATTCAGATGATTCCAAAAGAAATGGTATAGAAGATGGATAACACTTTATAAAGGGAGAGTAAAGATAGCAAAGTAGACAGGGAAAATAAAAAAACTGCTTGAAAAAATGCAGCGTCATTTGGAAACAACAAAGTGCTTAGTGTGAAGGACTCTCTGTGAAAGCCTGGCAAAGGAAGGTGGCAAACCTCCATGTACAGAAACAGCAGTCCTGCTGCCTGCCAGCACCTGTGACAGAAAGTGCTCTAGAAAGTTCAGCTTTTTCTGCATGTTTATTTTAGTTTTTGGTTTGTTGGGGCAGACTAAGCTTTATCGCTGTCTCCTCTACCCATTTCTCATTATGCAGAGGTGGATTTACTATGTCTGTAAAACCCCCCTGTAGGGTTAGGGGCACGTGTGTGCTGTTCTGCAGAAGCTGCAGCAATTACACAGCACCACGGCCAGCGTAACGTCAACGCCAACACCTCAGATAACCACCTGGATGCATCCTCAGGATGCTCTGCTGATTAAAGTGTTAGCCAAAACTCTGTGCAATTACAAAATAATAATAATAATGGCAGGAAAGCATCTAGGAAAGATGCAACAGAAACTCTGGAAGCACCAAGCTGCAGCACAGATATGGCTCCTACATTGCCTGGGTCTTACTTGCTTAAAACACTAACGTTTTACATGAGAAATTCAGCCTGGACAGCTCAGCTACTTGGAGCTGCCATTACAACCCTCTGGCTGACTTACGTGCAGCTTCCTGACTTCCTGCAGGTTGAACCCTCTCCATGAGTCCCTGACAAAAGTCTCCCTGAAGCTAGCAACACAGTTATCTAAAGGGAAGCGCTGCTTTGAGGTCCCGAGGCTCCTCAGCACGAGGCTTGGATACCAACAACTAAGAAGCCCACCACACACAGAAGAGCTGCCAGGAATTCAAAGACAAAAGGAGCTGCAGAAACCTTGCAGCGTAGCCTGCTTATAACCTGGCATCCTCTGTGTGGAATAGGAAACAGGTCCACTACATGTTGCCCATCAGTCAGACCCAAAGGGCTCAACAGAGCTGACTGAGAGGACAGCAGAAGAGCTCTTATTTCTGGAAGGTCACATCTTCCCATGATAGCGGTTTTGTGCAAGACACCAACCATTTAACAGCAGGAGAAAAAAATATATCCATCTTACTCTCCCTTTTGAGAAGATACAGTTCATCAAACAGTTGGACTCAAAGCTCTTTTTCAGGACGGCTGCTCAGACCAAATGGCCCACTCATTCCCGTCTCGTGGCTGGTAATGACTAGGAGATGCTAATTCAGCACTCTGCTAGAAATAGCATGTGCTTTGGTCATGCATTTCTATATGTAGCTTGCCCTTCTGGTATTTATTACGGTTTGGGAGAAACAAAATAATTCATACAACGTTATTCTGGAAGTAATTAGTAAGAGGCATAGCTAATACAAAAGAAAATACTGGATGCTGATGCCTGTGCTCAGAGAGCTCTTGGGTGTGAAGAGGAGGGAGCAATTTAGGGTCATCTCAGTTCAGACAGAAACAACCGGAGTCAGATGCACCAGGAACTCAGGATATGACTTAAAGTCAATAAACATGCTGGCACATGTTTTTTTTTTCCTCCTCAAAAAAAAACAGGTTTTGTTTCTAGTTGGTCTCCAGTTGTCTCCCACATCTACGTGTCTGTTGGAGCTCCAATGAAGCTACCCATCTGATTAGATACTTATAAGCTACAGCACTTGGAGCATCTATGGACATGGGTTTGATTACAAGGAGAGGCAATTAGATTAGATAGAAAAGAATGACTAAAATCATCTTTTTAAAAGCTGCCATCTGTTTATGTGCACTGGTCTCACAAATCAGGCATCTCAAATTCAGTTTATGCTTTTCTCTCATGAAAGGAGTGCAGTTCGGGACCTCGTGGACCCCTCTCACTGAGGCTTCTCCAAGACCAAGGGTGGCTGTCCAGGTTCAGAAGACAGATGCCTGGCTTGCAATAGGGAAGATCACAGGGTAACTTGACATTGCTTTTCAGCAAAAATGCTTTAAATCTATTTCCAATGCATGTCTTAAGCAAATCACATAACCATCTTAACCGAATGAGTGTCATGAATGAGAAACGCAGACCAACGTGCAGACTTCTGGCCGGTGCTGCATGCACGTGCCATGGAAGCCGTGGTTATTCTACATGCAGAGTTGTATTCCCACTTCCCAAGGGCTATTAGAAATACTGCATCATAACTGCAAGCCTCGTTTTTAGGTCAAGTTTACCCCCTGCATAATGGTGCTGAAGGCTGGGCAATGCAGGCTCCCACACAGACACAGATGAGACCAAGCTTTGCAGTGGAGGTTAGCCTGAAAAAAGGTGTTGGAATGCCCTGGGAAGCACCAGTGACAGGGAATGACCCTTTCATGGACATTGCACTCAGCACCATCCTGGAAGCTCTGGGAGAAACCTTTCCTATCTCCATTCACTTAAAACTATGCAAAATTATTTTTATTACAAGAGATGCCAGAAAACGAGAAACATTGGCAGCCACTGAGGAGCATGTTCATGGCCTCTCAGTGTATGAGAATTTCTTTATTTTCAACTTTCATGCAGGTCAGCAAGTACTGAATTTGGGTATAATAAAGCAAAACCAAGACAAAATATAACCGGTACTCACAAGGCTGTGAATACTTGCAAGATTAATACTTAGGGCACATGAAGTCATTGGAAACAATGGCTTTCCCCAGGCCACATTAAAATCTGTGCACTATCCCCAGCCATTTCCTACAAGGAATACAAATGCATGAGTGCACAGAGAGGCTAACACCTCTTTCCCCTGGCCAGCCCTTTTCTTCCTCTTCAGCAACAAGGAAAGGAGCTAAGCTGGGTGGCCTGGGGTTGTTGCAAACTCCCAGCCATTCTGCAAAGAGCTTTCAGTCCATCTGTCGTGGCACGAAATGGATGGGATGATACCATGCAAGTCAGAAGGCAAGAAACCTGAGTGCACTAACGGGCAGCGGCTGGTGCTGCAGTAAAAGGCTGAGGTTGGCAGTGGAGGCTGCAAGCGGGTCGGCTCTTACCTGACCACCTGCAAAAATGACAGGGGTGGAGGCGGGCTTTGGGCGGTAGGGAATGGTGGCACCTTTTGGTGGGGACTAGGAAAAGGGACAAGGAGAGGGAGAGAGAACATTAGAGAACAGCTTTCCTGAAACAGTGGCAAAAAGAGTGTTAGAAAGCACCCGACGGAGCACAGGCCACCACACGCGAGCAACACTCACACCAGGTGAACAGTGTTTACAGACAGGAGGACACATGGGAAATTGTCAGTTGGTGGAGGAAAAGGACATCCTTGGATACTGGGAATTTTCTTGCCAACACACAGCACCCCGAAACACTTCCTTGACCTTGGCTGCTTCCCTCACCTTTGCTCTCTGTAAGCTGGTGCCAATAGTCTAGAATTGAGGCTTCCTCAAAATTCCCTGCTAAGACTCACACGGTGCTGGAAAGCTTTGTGTTCACTGCTTGGCTTGGTTTCTGACTATCCAAGCTGGCACGTGCCTTGCTGCATAACGAACACTGCAAAGTGCTGTCACCCACAGGTGCCTGTTGGAGCAGCAGTGCTGGCTTTGGCCAGAGTGACGACCACTGGAGGGAGCTCTGTTCACCAGGGTAAGCGTAGGTCCTCCAAGAGGTTGGAAACAACCCTTGGAGAGTCACAACTGCCTTTCTAGTGATCTTATTCTAATACTGCACTTTGGAAATTACTTTTTTGATTCAGGAGATGGGTATAACAACAGCACAGGCACCGAGCTGTAGATATTCACACACTTTTCTCCTCTGGCAAAGGACTCTCAGAGGCAGCAACTCTCTTGATTGCCAGAGGAAAACTCTCTTGTTTTCCTCTTTGATGCTGTAGCCTGATCTGCCTGTGGATATGTCACAGCAGAAGTGGTAGTCCATGTGTCAACATCTGCATGAGGTACCGTATTTTCTCACCACAGCTATCTCTGTGTCCCCTGTTTAGAGGAAACCAACACTGCAGAGTTTTATAGGACTTGAGGCAATCTCTGTCTTCTTCCTACAGCACCCTCCACGCTGCTGTGACCACGAGCTTGTCAGAGCATGTGTAGCCTTCTCCGAGACCCCTCACTCTTGAGGCTAACCCAGCACTACGACACAATCAATCTCCTTTGGGCCTCCTACCAGTCAAATTTCCAGCTCAGGCCTCTAGAAATAATATATCAACACAGCAGGGGAAACACACAGGGTAGATTTTTAAATAAAGGTACCAGGAAATGAGAGTGATCCGATAACAAGTGGTGAACAATGACAGAGACACTCTCCACAGCTTTCAGCGCTGTTGCAGTGGCAGGTGAGTTTTTCCTATATACTTTACCCCCTTTGTTACAGACTGTACCTCCAGCATCACCACACAGATCTGTTTGACACACTGGATAATTGCGTCGGGTGTCCCCGAGATTGTCACCGCCCGCTCCGTGGAGTTGGGCAGCATGTCCCCCGCCACTTGAACCTGAGCACCTGTGGACTGGAGATAGAAGGAGGGAGAGAGGAGAAATCCCAAGGCTGACTCGAGGCAGCTGCAAGAATGGAAAAGCCCAACAACCCCTTCCCTTTCAGTCAGCTCCAGCTGTCCGACTGTCCTGGGAAGCAACACGGCTCCTGATGCCGGCTGCACGAAGATCACCCTTTCCAGGGCTTCCCCCTGGTTGCAGACTATATCTGAAGAGCTGTGATTACATGCAACAAGTAAAACAGATCTGATTTACCTCCCTGATTTCCTTGATCTTGGAGCCTCCTTTGCCAATCAGTGAACCACACTGGCTAGCTGGCACGACCAGTCTCAGCGTCACCGGAGGTTTACTGGTAGCAGTGCTGTTGCTCATTGAGTTGGTTATGTCCTAGAGAATGAAGAATAAGAAAATTAGTCATCCTTATGTGACCACACACTGCTAAAGAGGTGTCCCCACCTGGCTGCTTTCTGTTCTATATGCTCATGTAGATGCTCTACAGACACCATTGCCCTGATTCTTTGGGGACATCCTTCAGCATGATTCTGAGCAAGTTGATGGGTTAACTCAAGGAGGAGGAGGGGGTAAACAGCATTTTCAAATAGCACGGTGTCACTTGAGCCCTCCTTCCCCCTGGAACCTTTGCTCCTTATCTTCTGCTCTCCTTGGGGAGCAGGCTCACATTTCTCACCTCCTCAAATTTGTAAGCGATCATGGCAAAAGCCTTGAAGATGGCATCAGTGGGGCCTGTGATGGTCACAATTCGCTCTGGGCAGTTCCCCTCTGAGATGTTGATTCTTGCTCCACTCTAGAAAGAAAAAAGCAGCCCCGAAGTATTTATAGCCAAGCAACCATCTGGGATAAGCAGTCATTTCATGGGGTGTATCCTGGCCAGACCCGAGAAGACTCAGGACACAAAAATAGAAGCTCGGAGAGCCCCAGGAGGCCTGGGAGCATCACCATTGCCAGTCTATCCTGGCTAACCTTAAAAACTCCCAGCAATTTAGATTCCTCACCTGTCTCCAGAGGTATATTCTATGGCTGCCTTATCCTAACCCTCAGAAAGTATCTTTAAATATCTGATTTGAATCTGTCTTGCAGCAAGGCAAAACCACAAGACCAAGGCCTCATGTTTCCTACTGGTATGATAACACTTTAGTATCTAAAAACAGAGCCTTAGACAAATTCACACATCTTGCAAATAAATTCATTTTACTAGTTCCTTAATGTCAGGATCTTAGCTCTGGAAAACTCCCATTAAATGTAGCAGATGTTAGCTAGAGTACAGAGAGCATAAAAATGGGCAAAGGAGCTCTGGGGACAAAGCTCTGAAATTTTACTGTGGTGCACCCAGGTTTCTTTTCCTTACATTAAGGCTGAACCCATAAGTGACTACACATTCTTTCATGGGAGAAATAAATGTCCACGCTACACCTCCCCCAGACATTCCAGCCCCACCGGTCCTTCCACCTCCTCTCTGCTCAAATTAAACCTAGGTTAAGGTTGCTCACCTCCTCACGCATCTTTTTCACGGTCTCTCCTTTCTGAAATAAGAGACAGAAAGGCATACCATTTGCAAAAAGTTAATTTTCACCTCCCTCTGAACATGCTCAAAGCTGTCTGACTCAGCAGCATGCAACCAAACACTGAGGCAGCTCTCTGGTGCCTGGGCCTCCATTCCCATGTAATACATTTTCTAGATAAGCTTCAGAGCTTACAGTATGAGAAACACCAGGGAAAAGATCTTCCCATGAAGCTTCCTTCACAAGCTAAATGCTTTTTGCTGGCACATAGAGGCAAGTGCCATGGAATTTAAGCTGTTTCCCACGTTTAACATTTCTTAATCTTCCTTAATGAATGTATGTAATTACCTTATCAAGGCAACATGATCATAAACATTGGCCTTAGCAGCTACAGTGAAGCCGCTAAAAATAGCACTAAGTAAGGTTTTGCTTTATTTTATTTTTAACAGAATTACTCTTTGATCTCTCTATTGGCCTCCTAACATTTCCATCATGAAAACAGAGCAATTAGCTCATGCACAGCAAACATTTTCACTTTGGAAAAAAATAAATAACATCTATCTAAACACAAATAGTAAACAATGTGGGCAATTCAAGGAGCATCTAAATATGTATTTAAAGACATCATTACCTTTCCAATGATGCTCCCAACTTCCTAGAAAATAATAATAATAAAAAAAAACAGACACAAGGGAAATGACATTACAAGATGTGAAGATAATCCAGTCAAATTTCATAATAAAAAGAGACCTGGGGCACACACTAAGTGTCACTGGTGTTTGCTGTCCCTATCTAAGGGCAGCAAGAGGGTGGGCAGGGGAGTATCTGAGAAGGTGAAGAGCAGTATGCTGTGGACACACTCAGCACAGCCACAGCTCCTGCAGTAAATGCAGGGAAAGTGCATGCTGCGACAGTGTTTGGAAAGGGGGAGAGAGATGCAAGCTTGTCTCTATCTCCACAGTTCTTGTTTTGCAGAAAAAAGTATCCAAAATACTGACTGGGGATAGTGCCCCTCCACATGGGCTGGTGGAGAGCCACCACTCCCAAGTAGGAGTCCCATGCTAAGACTCAAGGCAAGCATGCCCAATCAGCTCCATCCCACCTGAGCTCTAACAGAGGGTTAGGACCTCAATGAAGGTGTCTCCTGGTGCCGGTGGCAGTGGGGATCTATGGCTAGAGCTGCTTGTGGGGATGCAAAGCCCTTTGAGCAAGTGGCTTTGGAGCAGTCCAAGTGACTTGCCAGAATGCCATGTAGGCGGAGGTAACAGCAACTCGACAACTGCTCTGCTGCTCTGCTAACAGGCCCAGCCTGGGGCTTTGGAAACGCCGAGCAGACGGGCAGGGCCTGGAGGCAGGAGGAGGAGCCGGCACCTCCTTGACTCCTGCAAGGAAAGGGCCCTCTCCAAGGTGTCCTGCGGCAGGGGAAACGCAGGCAGCCCCGCGCCAGGCCCCGGTACCTTGCCGTGCATCAGCAGCCGGATGGTGAGGGTCACATTCAGCCCGCCTTCGGAGACCTTCGACTCCATTTCCTAGCGAGGGACGGGAGACGTGCGTTAGCTGGGAGGGGAGCCCCGGCGCGGAACGACACAGCACCCCGACAGTATCACCTGTGAGGACAGAAAGGGAGAAAGGCTCGGTACCACCTGCACAGATGCACCCCCTGGATCCTCTTCATGGCTTTACCCAGACATGAGAAATGTTGACCCTAGCAGAACAACAACAACTTTGCCTCCCTTTGCTGTCCCTCTCACTAGTGTGCAGAGTGAAGTGAGCACATGAGGTTTTCTCTCCAAAGAGGCAGTTTTTGTAATGTGGGATGGAGCCTGCAGAGCAGCAGAGGCACACGAGGGCGGTGGCAGGAGGAGCTGCAAGGAAGACGTGGCAGCCTCAAGGCATTCGTTGGTGCAAAACTCACTGTTTACTGCAGGGATTGCACTAGGTGCAGAGCTCTGCCACGGTTCGAACCCAGCTTTACATAAAAGCCAAAGCAGGAACAAAGATCCAAGCATCCAAAGCAAAATAACCACAGAACTAGCACAAACCCATCCCAAGCTAAAAGGAGCTGTGTCCCAGCTGAGGCCTTGGAAGCAGGAGCAGGGAGTCAGGGGAGCAGCTTGACCAAAGGCTGGTGGCTGAATTATGGCTTTTAAAGACTTTGGACACATATCTAGCAAGCCCAAACTCCCACTTGCAAGTGGGAAAAAATGATTCTTCAGAAACTGAGAGTCATGCACCAGACCCAAAGAGCAAGGAGCAGGAAGGACCAAACTGGTATCCTAATTACTACATTCCTGCGTTTCCATCCAGATTAAGTACTCCAGCTGGGGCATTGTGTCTGAGGAATAGATGCCATTTTCAACCATAAATATTTCACGTATTATTTAATAAAACCTCTAAGTTTTTCAAGGTGTTGCCCTTTCCTTTTCCATTCCCTCTCTTTCCTCCTCTGACCTCTACAGAGGAGAACACTGATACTTGGAAAGCAGGAGAAAAAAA